TGCTATCTATTATTATTATTAATGTATAAAGAGAAGTCACAAGTAGTGCCTGAAATGCCGGCATATTATTAGCTGTGCAAAAAAAGACCGATTCGTTCAAATGCATTCCTGTGTCATCTCGATTGTTTACAGCAAAGTTGTGTTGTTAGCATGCTGTGTAGATCCTAGCATAACGGCAACTTTTGATTTCATAGACAAGCGCACAATTCATTACGAAGATCTACGTCAAGACTATCTTATCGTTGTAATAATGATCAGTTGCAGAGAGGAAAAAAGACTGTGACACATTTGTATCTGCGACGTTCAACACCCGGATCGCTAGTGCACCCCCCCCCCCTCCCCGACACACACACACACACACACACACACAGTCACACGTGTGCAGGCTGCCCATCCGAGACACACGCCAGAGACTCGTGCGCGAGCCAACCACGCATGTGTTGGTATGAAAAAAAGGCCGCTGATTGGTCGCATGCAATCGGCTAAGTGAATAATGGTTCACGATGCAGTTGCGATGGATGGTTTCCGGGAATAGATAAAGTTCGTTCTGTGAGAAAAATGAACGAAGTCACGTCTGCGGGGGCTGTTCACCCTAGAAGAAGAGACGTCGTTGAATCCGAGTTCGCTGATTTAAGTGCTCGTTGAATCCGGGTCATTTTTTATTGATTTTAAAGAAGAAAAAGACGGGGAATTTATCTCATCTCGTTGAATCCGAGTTCCACTGTATAACACTAACAGGGATGGGGGGAGTAGAGAAAATGTCCTGTTATATCCGATTCCTGTTAAATCAGAAATTATGCAAGGAAAGTAAGCATTTGTGGACTAATCCTGTTGTACTTATTCATGGGTAGTGGGTAGTTGCCCTTGCCACAAGTACCCACGAACAGAGGTTTTGGCACCAACTTTCTCCTTGCCACCTTTAAACTAAACCACATCAGAAGAGCTTGGTCCACAGTATCTGCATCGGGTAGTCTCAGTGGCGTCGCATGGGTTGCAGACTAGGTGGTGCATAATAATTAATTGGAAAGTGCACAAATGCTTACTTGCTACTATTACTATTAAAATTGTAATGAGCGGTTGGCGGGCGCTCTGGTGTCGTCTGTTCTTTCTATTGCTTTCTGCGAGTCTCTCTGTGCGTGTGTGTGTGTGTGTGTGTGTGAGAGAGAGAGAGAGAGAGAGAGAGAGAGAGAGAGAGAGAGAGAGAGAGAGGCAAAGAGAGAGTGAGTGTGATTGATAACCAAACCTTGTCAGTGTCTGATCGATCAGTAAAAAGCAGACTTGTAATGGAAACAGTTCAATTTCTTTTACTTATCATACTACGTACAGGAAAAAAGCGAACATTTCTTGAGCTCAAAAATCCCGCGACAGATGAGGACCAAGCTCTTTTATGCGCAATTTCTCTTTTACTTCTAACTGTAGCCTGCAGAATGGCACAAGAAGCAAAGCGTTAACGTGATTCATCTAGATTTCTAGAGAAAGAAAGTTAGAATCTGCAGGATATCCAGTAATCTAGATCTATCGATATTTACACCTGTTTCTAGATGAAACCGCATAAAAGCTGCAATAAAGTGAAACAATACTAACAACTCACTATGCTCACAATCTGAGAAGATTTAAAGATTTCTAATTACTTCGTGCAGCACCAACAACCAGACTCAATTTGAAAATTTACCTCAACAGGACTTGCTACACACAATAGCGGGCGACAACAGTTTCGATACACCCATTCTTCATTGAGTTACCGTAGACTCTACTAGTCTACTAGTACTAGTGTAGTAGCCTAGATAGAGGCTAGCGGTAACTTGGATTAAATTTTAAGCTTGCACCAAATCGGTGCTGCGAACTGGAGTTTCACGCACCTTTCTTCTTGTGCAGGAAGGACGATGCATAGATTTCTCTACAGTGACAAAAATAACTTTGGTGCAAATGTTTTGCTTGCTCCCAGCAGACGTTACCACAAGCGGTGCGACGAGCATAAACCATCCACGCCGTCTGTCTCTTTGCTGGCGCGCGCGCAACCAGCGCGTGACGGGTCGCAAGGATGTAGGCTAGTCAGGGGCGAAGCGTCTATATAATCAAATAATCACTGCTTCCCTTTCTAATTTTTAAACATTGTCGCTGTCAAATTCATCCTTAAACGTAAACCTCATAAATTAAATGTAAAAAGACGTTCGTAACCAACAACGAACAGTATGCCTAACATTCAAAATGGTTTCACGGCCACAGAAATAGCCTCTTCACCCCTCTCGGGCCACTCCATAAGCAGTCGCAAGCTTTGATTAAGTAAGCTTAAAGTGAGGCTGGAATAGAGTTGAAGGGAACATGTGCATGGCAGTCAAAGCTGTTTCATTGCCGCATATACCCTGTTCACCCCTTTGGGGCCACAGTTAAAATCAATCACAAGCCCTGATTAAGTAAGCTAACTAACACTGGTCGAGTCTACCTCACAAGACTAACTCTTAATAATCTCTTGACTGCTGCTTGTGCTTGTTTTTTTTCCTCGACTTTTTACCGTCCTATAATCAGATCGTGACCTCGATTATGACACCAGCTCCTGGCCGCGAAAGGCTAACAAAAACAGCCAAATGTGAAATTTAAAAAATAATTTTGCGGCTCTCGGTCTAGTGAGGCAGGGTCCGCGAGCCGCAAAATGCGGCTCGTGGTAGGGAAAGTGTTAAAGGAACCTCGTCCTCTTGGTCCCATGGCAAGATATCTGGCCAGATATATCTCAGCCCAATAACTTACAGTTACAGGCTGGCGAACGCCCGTGGGGGCTCTTCATATTATTTTGTGAATGTGAGGACTCTCGCTCAAGTCAAAGTGACAGATAGAAGGGAAGTAACTCATTACTTTATCTCTAGTGATTGGTACAATAGAAGAACAAAGCTTAAGCGGGACTTTTGGTTCTTGAAGAAAAATCCCACTGTAGGCAAGTTCCCGCTTTAGGAATGCAAAGGGGAAATTACCGGAAAATTAAAAAATCCATATGATTACCTCCCTTCCATACCAATAAAATTTGCGCTTCCTTTTCTTGTCAACTTCGATGATTATCTTGGAGTTAATTTGAAAGAGACGCACTTCCTTTTGTCTTTGTTGGAAGCCATCTTTTCCTCGGTCTCGTTGCTTGAGCTGTCTATCGTACCAGTAGGTCCACTGTAGAGGCCTCTAGATCTATAGGATTTAAGATTACGATAGCCAAGTAAGCCTAATCCGCTGCCCTCAAAGAACTTATATTCTAATAACGTACTTGCTCAATGAATCACAAGAGAAATGATTCTCTGAATATATAGAGATCTATCATTCTGATGTCGGGGATGTCGCTTGGAAAGCCACGTGGCTGGGCCATCGTCTCAATGACTATGATTATCTCCAACAGTTTCCTTTTTGGCTATCTGTTCCCGACGTTTTACTGTGCATATTCATTAAATTGAGTCCGTCTTTCACTCCTCCAGTCGGGTGGGGGAATCCTTCACGGGTCGTCATATTATCGGCCCAAAGTAACCCCCGCCCCAAAGGGAGGTCACTAGAATATCAAGGCAATGAAGTGACTGTGTCCCTTCTTTCCCCTGCAAAGGTTCATGTAAACGCACGCTCCGTGTAAACACACGCCACGGAGCCCTCCCGAGCACCGTGCGCTAAGGCGGAGACTACTGTACTAAATGTGTCTAATACTAATACTACTGGCTGCTGCAGTTGAAATATAAAATAATCAAGGCCATCATTGACTGTAACCGCACATATAACAGTCGGGCACAGGTAACTTGGAATATGATAGAAAATTAACCCCGAAAATCGAAGAGATTACTTCCAGGTAGGGGAAGAAACCCTCTTGAATATAATGAAGTTACTTAAATTTCAGAAATGGACATGGTTATTTCCCTTGGTAAAAGTTGACTATTGTGAGAAAGTAAAGTTTGGTGAAAGTAACGAGATACGATGTTGAATAAATTAAATTAATATAATACACACAAGCAAACTGGATCATGTACATATATATATGTATTTGAACCAAGGTGGTCCATATGACAGGCTGGCAAGTTATCACCAAAAAGTGTGCAGCCATCAAATGTGCCTTGGGGAACTTCCACTGGTTATGTTCAGTGTAGGCTGAATTGACTGTCTTTGAATCAATCATAATTTATGTTGTGGAATGGCATTTTGTTTGGCCTTTCCATGAATTTGAGTTTTATCTGTGCTCATCTGTGATACTCCACACTGAATATCACAAATATATGACAGACTAATATCCCAAGAGCATATCACACACAAACAAATCAGAACCAGAGTCCAGTAAGATTAGAAAACATGTACAACGTATTCCACATTATTACAGTAATTCAAATTTCTTCACAAGAACAAGAACTTATGAAGTGGCCGAACCCAACCCAGTGAAATAAATTCCTCCAATTGGTGGACCAAGCAAAATAAATAACATTTAGCATGAATAAATGTTAGCCCCCCGCCCGCAAGAAAGAAACCGCGTACAGTCGGGCACAGATAACTCCAAATACGACGCGCATTGACAGTATATTGCTACCTCAGAACAAAGTTCTATCTGCTCAGCATCTAGTTTTGAGAAATTTGACGACAAAAGACTTTGGGTTTCACATCATGACAAGCTTTTCGAATGCATTTATTTGAATATCTTGTTAACGATACTGAATAATCTTACTATTTTGATAGAGCAGATAGATCATTTTCTTTCTAACAGCATGGCTGAAAATGTCAGATAAAACTTTATAATTCTAAAGTAGCAAAATGAGTTTGACACATCCATACTTCGGATTTACAGATAACGAAAAATTTTTAAAGAGAAATTAGTTGGGGAAAGGCAAATTGTACGACCTATCTGTGATTTTCGAATTCTCTGTGTTCGGGTTATCTGTGCTTGACTGTAATCTGATCTCCATAACTTGCATACCCAGATTCAACATTTCAATGACAAACATGTCTGCCTTTTGGGCATACTTAGCAAACAAACAGAATTTCCACGCAGCAACTTTGACGTAAAAAAACATTTTAATGGAACAAATGCAAAGATCATACATACATATGAAGTCATATTCTGTGTTTCCGTTTTTAAATTGTTCTGCAACAATGGTCGGGACATTCAGGGCAGAGATGAGTTTGTAATACTTTGACCAAGTGCTTTGCATGCAAATCATTTAATTTCTCCCTCAGCCTGCTGTTTTAGGAAACTACACTATCAAAAGTACAAGTCAATATTAAACTAAACCTCAGTAACTACCATTAAAAAGCCCTGTCACAAAAAGCCATTCACAACAGGTAACAGACGGAACAGCAACAGAAAACTATACACAAAGAGACAAAATATTCTCCTCTATACTTGAATAAAAGAAAATCTTAATTTCACTGTAAATAGAGCGATCACAACAAGAAAAATGACGATAGTGCCTCTGTTTTTTTTAACCATAGACCTCATCCGGCAGCATCTTCAGAACAGCAGAGTGAATGTACTCTGTAAGTTTTGCAAAACAACGATTTGTATGAATGAGTAATTATAGTTACATCAAACACAGCATATATATATGAACTTTTGTACAATGAGAGAACAAAATTCAAAGCACGGATTGTTTCATCTTCCTAATGCGGCCGGACAAGAAGGCATTTCAGGTCCCTTACAAATCAGCCCTGTGCAATACTGCAAAAGCCAGAGCCTCTTGGTACAACAAAACTTTGCCAACTTTGTCCGCAGAACGAGGCCCTCAGTTGGAGTGGGCGGAAGGAGAACGGGAGCGAGATTTTGGAGCAGGAGATCTGAGGAAAGACCGAAATTGTTTTCATTTCTTAGTCGCAATGTTTAAACAATTTTCACCCACACAATAAACCTTGGTCACAAACACCACTTGTTCAACAAAGACAAGCCTTATTAGTAAAAAAAAAAGTAAATAAAACTACACTCAAGACAAGTTGCAACAAGTTTGTTAATACAAGAGACAGTTTTCTTCCTGTGCATGTCATGACCACTTGTGCACATGCTGAATGCAATGTAATTAGAATCCGGGAATTACTCCCACTTAACACTTTCAACACTACAAACAACAATACTGCCTTTTTAGACAAAAAGTGCACTTGACAAAAAAGAACAACAATTTAAAATTTTTTAAAAACATAATGCAACGTTGATATCCCTTGAATCCTGGTCTCTTTCACTTTTCATTGTCAGGATCAGAAGCCTACCACAGAGCTAGCTATCTACTAATAAAAAGAAACTAACTTCAAGCTTCAGCCGCAAACCACAAAACCAACACATTTGAACTGCAAAAACAAGACAGAAAACTCATTTGCCTCTGTGAAATAGCCATTTATAAATGATACAGATTTTCAGAAACTGACATGTGTTTGAGAGACATGACAAACAAATTATAAAGTGTGGTTGTTTAAATATGCCGTGTTTAAATCCAAGAAATTAATGCACAAATACAATGCCCTTCTGTCAGTGCAGGATAGGAGCGAGTGTGAGAGTGCAGGAGCATTTCTGTATGTGACTGGGAGAATATTTGTAAACATTTATTTATACAACATAAAAAGGAGTTCCCATTCTTCAATGCAGAAGAACCAAAATATATGTCATGGAGAACCTATCTTGACTAAGTAAGATCTTGATTCTACATGCTTAGGTTATTTCAGATTTTTGTGAACATAAGAATTTTCAGACACACACTTGACCCTCTCAATACAGGAAAGATCAGAGTACCGTACAGGAACAGCAGACATATAACCAAACTTTGCGGAGAAAAAGAAAGTTAAACATTTAGGCAAAAAAATCCAAAGACACCAAAATAACACCTGCATCTGCTTTAAAAAAAATAAAATTTTAAAAGATATTTTTTTAAAGATCTGCATCGCCTCTTCTAATGATTGTTATAAGTCACAACCTCCAGCCATAAACATTGCAAAGGACCTCTCTTCACAGTACCAAAACCTTTTAATTCAATGACAATCTGGCTGGGCTGCACGAAAGAGTCAACACGACAGTAAGCAGGCAAGGTCTAAAGACACATTCGATTAAAAACAGAAACAGAAAACCCACTCCTCTGGCCAAAAACAAACAAAAGCCAAAAGTCCAGAACAAGAAGTAAAGTGACACTTTAACACCAATCTGTAAATACCTCATGCAATTTTGCAAAGTGGGACATGATCTAACTATCTAGAGAGATCTTTTCTTGGTTTTCAAAGACAATCACATACCACATTATGCTTCAATCTGCATGAATAAAAAGGATTTCCTAGTATCCCTACACAATTCATTTAATTCCTAAAAGCTTCCCATTAATTCCATTATAAAAGAAATATATTTTTCTATGAAATAAACAATTCCTTTCTGTTAAAGATTACACTACCAGCAGTACTCTGAATACATACTCGTTAAAATTTAGTGTCCATCATTTTTGTTTAATTTTCTGTTCCATGAAATCAACTATTGTACACCTGTTCATCCCCCCTCCCCTAAATTTTAAGGTCTGCTTGTACCTACAACAGTAGGGTCATTATCACAAGAGCTAAACAAAGGACTTGATCTGAATCCAGGAACCAGACAGTAACACCTTTGGTCCAGAATAAACATACAAAAGGCGAAGAGAATGAAGGGAGACAGTTGGCCCTCATTGCTTCCGCGACAGATATTTTACATACCTGGATCTTGATCGATCTGACCTTGGGCTCCTAAACCAAATAAAGGACAAGGAGAAGACAGTTTGGTTAATTAGGAAGCAGCAGGTTGAAAATGACGAGAATTTGTCAAGATGATTACGATGCAAGAAGCGGTAACAATAAAGTGGTTGCAGAAGGTCAAACATGTAACTATTTCAAGTCAGCATTGTCTTTTTTCAGTGTGCACTTTGTGAAGTACAGCCTCGAAGCAAAAATATCATGTCAGATAAAGGGACATAGCAGTCACAGTACATAAGCACTACTAAACTTCCCAAAACTTATTAGCTTACTAAGGATGATGGGAGAAAAAAAAATAACCACTAAAGATTATATCCCTTAACTCTTGTTCTGAACAATACAAAAGTATAGCAGGGATGCCACTGGAATTTTGTGTAAATAACTGAAAATATACCGTGTTTCACTTGCAAACAAAAATACAGTTAATAGACACAAATAAGGGGTTAAACAGGAAAGATATGCTGAAAAAAAAAATGTTTTCAAAACGGATTTCAGTGAAAATAACAACGACAGTACCCACGGTAACATTTGAAAAACACTACTGTTTCTAGTTCTGTTGATTATAAATTCCACATTCTTCGAGACTTACTACTTGGGAGGCCTTTATGACGTAGCACTTCAAACATAGGGAATTGAAGTGGAAGACTGGGTTCGATATCTGACCAAAGTCGGTAGAATACGAAACTCTATCCTTTGATAAAAGTTTCTTGCTACCTTTATATTTCCTACACTGAACTGAAACTGAAGGGTTTTACGGCATTTGCAACAAAAATAAGACATAAAAGTACCAAAGATAAGAGGTCTCACTAGAGAAAAACATCACAGGAATGGATGAAGAGAGATAAGGATAATGGACATTTTATAGGGATAGAAAGAAGGAGAAAACTACACCAGGGCACCCTTCAATCCCCTGCAAATTGGAACTTGACAATTGATCAAATCAATTATGTTCCCCATTTAGGCATGCAACTGAGAATAATGAGCTGAGTAATGCTGAAAGTCGTCATGGGATAAATTTGGTAGCAAGGGATTCATAATATACACTGGCACGGGTAGAGAGTCATCATATCCACGTTGCATAATATTTTTAGCAGCAGAGATTGCAAGACCAAACTTATGACTTACAAATCCCTCACATTGTGATGGTGTGGGTACAAAATAAACAAACATCAGATGAGCATCCAGTCAAGAAATCAAAAAGAATTAATATCCTCTTTACCTCAACAAATATACAATACTGAAAAAGCAACTTTATGTTAGACTGCTTCCTATCTAAATGTAAAAATACACACACAGAGGCCAGAGTTAGAAAGACAAAAACATAGAGATAGAGACCACACAAGAGACTGCTAGTTAGTAGGTTCAGTTCACTCAAAAATGAAAAACTGAGAACAATGAAAGTTTACACAGCAAGCGTCAAGTTAGCTAATGTTATTCGAATGAACTACTTGCAGAAAAATAAATTTCAAAAATAAGAAGCAAACCAAGAAACTGTAATACCCATTTATGTCAAACTTACCAATTTTAATCATCCCAGTCGATGATTTTTTCAAATGCGCTTCAACACCCCCATACAAACAAGACAACTAAACTCATAATATAATCAGATCTGTTACTGAGGACAGTGGACGTAAGAAGCACAGCAGTCTGACTTCTCAGGGTAGTACGGTAGTGAAAAACAGCTGACCTACCCGAATGCAGACACAAATACTTCTTTTTAAAATTTCCCCAAAAATTATCGAAATGCTCTTTGCAAAATGTAAACCCATGTAAAAAGATAAATATAAAACATTTCAAGCACAAGTCCTGAATTCACCCCGTTGCCTCGCGTTTGAGATTTTTATGTTTCAGGGAATCCTAAATATGCCATTTCAGGCTATTCAAGCCTAAATTTAATAAGAAAATAAAAGAGAAAAAACATACCTTCCATACATAATTTTCTGCTTGTGTTAATAAATAATCCATATATAAATCCAAGGCCATCGTTTCTCCCTTGTAACGGTACTGTACATTCATAATAGTAAATAACATTTAGATCTATAAAACTTGACAGTTAATGTTCAACTTTTTTCTGCTTGTGTTGGTTTGCACCATGTGTAGAATCCATATTATCCTAGTCCAAGTCTAAGCTGTTCTCCTTGTACTGTACACCCATAACAGCTAGATTTGACAGCTTATGTTCAACTTAAATCCACAACAATATTTACAAATAAACAAGTCTGATAAAAAAAAATCAAGCTCTCTTAAGTTTTCTTTTCTTGGCAGGCCCAAGATCTATTGAACCACATTTCTTCCTCTTGTTTACAGTGCTGGTGCTCTGCTTGTGCTTTTGAAGTGAAAGTAAAAGACACTGTCTACCCTTTCAAATAAAAGAGCACTTCCGGCACGGACTAGCTATTGTTGACTATTAGTAATTACTGTACATTTTTATTTCGCATTTTTAAAAATAATTTCTTAAAATTATTTTTTGAGCTTGAATTTTCACAGAAATTTTTCCATTTGCGGAGATCCGCAAATTTGCGGAAAACGGGAAGCACTGTCACATAAATATAACCCTGTAGAAAGCAACACATATTGCAGCACGGCAAGATGTCTTTAAAAATAAAATTCAGTCCCACTTTCTCATTTCTCAATGGAAGTTGATTTTTCAAAGTCACAGCCAAAACATTACCTGATTGCGCAGGGAGTACAAATGTTAAAACATACCAAGGTTAACAAAGCATTATCCCTGTTGCTACATATATTCATACTGTATAGTATTGCACTGTGCACTACACATGTCCTTATCAAAATAAAATATCATGATGCAGTGTACTTATAAGGGGACAAGTATCAGGCAAAGTTTACTCCCTTTTAAGCAATTCATTTTTAAAAGAAAACTGTTGAAAATAAAAATCTTGAACAAGTCACTGTTTGCATGTTCCCATCCAACTAATGTCAAAAGTCACGCTAAATCGTAAACAACATTGTATATATATTGTTTTTCCGGTGGCCATTGGGTTAATGAAGGTTAGATCAGCAGCCATCTAAGAGATTACCTAAGCACCAAGAAGTTAATGACACCAACAATGGAACAACTGTAAATGAACGCATCATCATCACCCATGGGGCAAAACAGACTAGAATTTAACTATCTCATGAAGGACTATAAATAAAACCTCCCGGGACAGAAAGTAACAGCATGCGTATTCATAAAAGTGTTAGAGGAGGCAAAGAAAAGCAAGCAGTTGAAGGAAATATTCGTTAAAAGAGCATTCGTCAAAACACAAAACAGCATATCACATCCAGACTTCATGCAATCTTGACAAGGGCTCTTCAACGCAGTGGGCCTGACGCATTTCGAGAGATCGTGTCTTTTAAAAAATTAAACAAATGCTTATTGGGAATCAGTGCAACAGCTAAATTTTGCCTAAAAAGAGATCATTAGTCCACAAATGGAATTAAGGCTCTGAAGTCACTGCTTGAAATCAGACGGATATTCATGATAGACATTTGAAGAACCCTGATCTGGTCGACATCATAAGCATCATTTAAACCCTACCCACCTGCTGCGAGTACGGCTCTGGCGACCTCTGCTCCTGCTCCTGCTGCGGGAATAACTCCGAGAGTAGGACCTGAAAAAAGTTGTTCAAGAGGAAGTTCAGTGCCTGCTCGATGACTGCATTAAAAAAAAATTAGAGCATACTATTCTTCTCAAACGAGCTTACACTGCCTTGCTCTAAGGAACTCCAGACACTAGGTACCTGCTCTTCATCCAGAATGAGAAGTGCACATCAACAACTTATCTACAAGCAAGAGAAAAGACAAGCGATCAAAGATAAGAGCGCTGGACGGGGACACAGACGTTTTACAGCTCTCCCCTTCATCATTATACTTAGGAACTTAAAGGCTCACACCTCATTTCTGGTGTTTTACAATTTTATCACAGCAATTATTCTGCAAGGACAATCAGGTACACCTGAAAATCAGCCCATATAAACATGAGTTAAGCTTTCTGCAAAGGACAATTGCACAATTAGCATTTCAGTTCTATCTTTGAAAGCTATGCAACCCTGTGAATATAAGTTAACAGTCAAGCCAGGTACTTTATATTGCCATCTGAAAGAAAAATCAGTTTAAAATGTAAATAAATACAGCTATAAGTATCAGTTCTGATAAATCAATTTTTCCATAATAAATGTGAAAGTGCACTCTACATCTTAGATCTTTATATCTGGTTGAGCAAAACAATAAATCTACATAAATGTTTTAAAATGACAGTAATATTGACAGCAAACATAACAGAATGCCTTTTAAAAATAGGTGTAAAGTATCTTAAAAACTGACATCAAATCTTAATTTGAAAGCAAAAAAATTATACCTATTTAGAAGCATTACAAATCTCTAGGTAACTTAAATCTACAGTAGTACAGCAGATCTAACAAACAAAAATCAAGATTTAACTGAAATCATAATGACATATTAAACATAATGCCTAATTAGACAAAACAGAAGTCCTCCATCACCATTACCGTGCCTTTTTCTCTTTCCCTCTTACTCAAAGGTAGTGATGCGAAGAACTCATTTCTGAGAGAAGATTCGTTCACAAGGTAGATTTTATCTTTCTTAGCAGGGCCAGGCCGATCACGCAATCTTACAGCAAGATGGGGGTGCGCTCAGAGGGCTGGGCTCTAAGATCACGCCATTTTCATGTGCCTGATCTTAGACCATCAGTACCGCCGAAATGTTGTCTGGCAAACGCTGCTGAGTTGGCAGATCGAGCCGACTTTTTCGTTCAAACTCTGCGCGGCATGTTGCCAGGAACATTTTTAGTTGGGAGATCTAAGCATGGTTGGTGTTGGTGGTTGAAGTAGTAGATGGAGTAGTGATGGCTGGGTTATTTCTTAGTGACGGTTGCTGCTCTTAACTGGGATGATATGCTGATCTTAGCTTTATTCTGCAAAGCATTGTACATAGAATGAGTACACGATGGAACAATCATCATTATGAATGAACATTTAGAGAATAGATTGATGATTTCAAATTATGCATTTCTATAGTTCAGAAATAAAATGCATGTAAAAGGACAGGTTTCTAAAGAGAAAGAACCTTTTCAAATGGGTAACAAAACTCCAGTTGCACAGATGTATCTCTATGAAAAAGAACTTTATAGTTAACACAGTGTAAGAAAATTAATGGTATGTGCATGTGAACAGAATTCCTTCAGAGAGGAATGGAAAAAAAATTGTGTAAAATTACAACCTTTTGAACAGAAAGCCATTTTACAACATCCTTGAAAGATGATAACTTTACAGACACTGAAGAGTTGGAACATACCTCTTCCGACTTCCACTTCCACTTCCACCACCACCACCTCCTCCTTTTCGACTTCTGGAGCAATCATATGCATAATGGCCTCGTTCACCACACTCGTAACATCTGTCGTCAGGGTGGAATGCACGACGTGAGCGAGGGGGGCCACGCCCTCCACGAAGCCATGGTTTTGGCCTCACTTTGCCTGTGGACAATTCTACACGGCAGCGACTCCCACAAATATTTCTGGAAGAAAAGTAATGTAAAACAATATCTTTTATTGCTAAAGTGATAATGGTTAGCAACAGCTTGCCTCAATGAAACCATCTTTAACAGAAGGGCTTCACAAATTTTCTATAATATATGACATGCTAGACAATACAGACCACTTGCTTCTACATTTTGTATTTTTTCAAATGAGATAATAAATCCTAGCAGGTACTTATCACTTTGAAATCATAAAGTAGGTAGCGTAAACACGGCCTTGCGGGCACTCACGGCCTTCTGACCGCGTGGTATCGGTGAAATCGCAGTTATTCCGATCGCTGTTTCCTTGCTCTTTCGCTATAAAACACCAAATGCCGTACACCTTGTAAAAGTTCAGCTTTTCCTCGTTACAATGGTGTAAGTTGTTTATATGTCCGATTACTAGGAGCTGGAGAATCGCCGACGAAAGCGAAGCCCCTCGCAGTCAGCATGCGTGGTCGGCCGGTTCAAAAATTGACACGCGTGCATTCAAATGCTTCGCGGAACGAGCGATGATTAAATACCGTCTTTTCATTGGCGGAGAACTGTAGACCTCTAAACGGGCTTTCCAGTGGTATATGTTTGGCCTTTGGCGTTTAAATAGAAAGCTTTTAAAAATGCTGTCAAAATAAATAAAGATCACTTTTTACACAAAATATGTAAAATAACGGCTTAAAAAAGATATTAACTGATTCCGTCCATGATTTTTTCCGGCTCTGGACAGAATTATTTTTCCCTGTTCAGTTTTAGACCTGGGGCGCATCTATTTAATGAATGCATTACTGTGAAGCTCTAAGTTACTCTAATATGTATTGTCATATACCAAACTGATGGGAATAAATAGAAGAATCTGTTTCTATAAATAACAATGACCTCTAATCTGTTTGTATTGCATTTTCCTTCTGACAGAAACGAATGAGAAAAAAAAATTGCGCAACAGCTCTTCGAAAATTTCGACTTACCGCATTTTCTCAGCTCTACAAGTCCTTATAATCCATAGGAATCAACACAACATTGTAGCGATATCACCCTAGCACACATTTATGCAAGAATTTCACAAATTTAGTTGAATATCTTTCTTTGAAGAGCCTTTCTATTATACTAGGCTCTGTGTTGTTTACCCTTAGATCTAGCCTACATCGCAACAAGAAAACAACGATTTTTGCAAGAATTTAGCGGAGTTCCGATCGATATTGGCGCTCAGAGATTGAGGTCAGGTTTGTTTACAAGTTCTACTTCCTTTAGACAAATTAAAAAGTAGGAACTATGTTAAAAAGTGCACCTTTGTTTCCGATTTCGTTGAGCCGCTCACAACGGCCGAATGGAGGCAGCGGAAAAACTCAGAGCCGCTGTCAGCGGCCGAATGGACGGAATCAGTTAATGAAAAGGTCAGTTTATTTTCTATTAGAATAAAGTAATCAGCTTGGAATTATTTAACATCAATCCTTCCGCGAGACTCGAAAAGCATGTGACCCCGCACGCGGGGTACACTACAGTATAAGCCGACTCGCTCGCCGCGGGAGCCGGTGCGGATTCGGCCGGGTCAACGCTCGGTGTTTTTGTCGAAATAACTTCAGATCATCGTGTTTGAAGTGATAAAATACTGATTTGTACTATCTCAGTCTTGAAAAAAATTTGGCTCCATATATTTGTCATAGTGATTGTACTCTGTTAATGTGGAGATGTTTAGTGCACTTGGTACTCTTTTATTGTCTTTCAAACATGGGGTTGCAGCCAGTGACTGACTTTAACAAATTTGATCAAATTTTAAACAACTACCATTTTCTTTAAAATTGACTTAGAGGTTAAGTTAAAGAATGGTACCAAAATGCTCAGTGGATATAGGCCTTTCAAATGGAACAGATAAATTTGGCATACAGCTACTTTGAAAATTTAGTTTCTGATACCTACATAAAGTAAGGCTTATAATCTTTAAAATTGTAATAAAATCTTTCACTTTTAGATACACACTATAGGCAGTTTAGTGAAATTTTTTAATTTGTCTGATATGCTTTGAAATACTTTCATTTGAAAGCTCTTGCCTTCATGATCATAAAACCGTTTAAATTTTATTGATATCTTAATTAGTTAAAAAGTTGTGGCGATTTTTCATGCCTAAAATCGGGTCAATTTCAGGCCACTTTTAACACCGAGTTTTTGTGACACAAAAAATGCAACTTTACAACACTAATGACTATTACTCAACAAAAATTGCATATTTTTTAAAGTGTTGTACATCAATTTGTTGGGAATTTTATGTAGAATGCACAAAACTACAAAACACCTCTTGCAAAGTCAACGCAATATTTTTTGGGGACTTATAGAGGTTCAGGGTGATAAAAAATCACCTGCAAGGATAACCCGAAATGGACAAAATGGGCTATATCTTTCCTGCTAATGGTCATATTTAGACAAATCATATATCATTCTCTTTGTCTTTATTCGCTGTTCATAATTATTAAAGAGTTAAGCCAATTAAGTAATAATTTCCAATTTTATGGTCATTCTTAAGATTCCAAAACGTGTTTTTCTAATCGTAAAACGGATTCCTGATCCGTTAAAAAATTTTAAAAACTCTTAATGACTGCCATAAGACAGCTCCCTATCCTTCTTTTTCAAAGTATTGCAAAATATATTTGTTTGAAGCTATATTTATGCTTTCAAGAGCATAAAAGAGCTTATAAAGTCAAGAAAAATGCTCTTTAGAGATCTAGTTGTAGACCCACTGGAACATTTAATAAACTGTGGAAAGATGACCAGAAAATAAAATCAGGGGCCTATGATCTTCACACAAGTTGCACGTACAATTTTTTGGACAAATATTTTTAGTCTACCTCATTCTATAGTTGCACGTACAATTTTTTGGACAAATATTTTTATAGTCTACCTCATTCTATTATTTTTTCACACATTTTTCTTCACTCTTCATGACAATTGCCTATTGTTTTGAGTTATTATCAACTAACATGAGCAATTTTCATTGATGAGCACAATTTTTTTTAAAATATGGAGTCAAAGACTCACTGGCCATGTATTATTTATAGCAAAGAAAATGGCACAATTTGATTATTATGTAAAAAGTAATAATATCCAGAAAATAATAACATAAAATTATTAGGTACTGAAAGTGAAAGACTGAGCAGAGGCTTGGATCTCTGGTAACATTGTTCTCTACTACTATCTCGTATGTTTGCGCAAAAAACTGATTTGAGAGAAAGGTTGTCTAATAAAAGTAAAGGTGATTGTTATGATGAGATTTATTATAAACTCTGGAAAATTTGGCTAAATGCTGAAGCTAAAATCAATAAGAACTGTGCAATTCAAGTTTTATTTCGATTCCAAAGCCCAAAGGCATAAAAATAGTTACATCTAGCAGATGCTGGCTTTCTAAATGCTGCTGGCCTACTACTGCTGAATTCTAGACAGGGAATCTAGATTTAACTATCATCTGCACTATTCAAGAGCCACACATGGTAAAATAAAAACAAAACTGTGAATTCTTTTGTCAGTCCGTTCATAATATCATAGCCGCACATATTATTATCCGGAGAAACAAGAAAAGCGCGAATAAATGCGATGCCGGCGCAATACGTTGTCAGTGTGCAGGGGAGAGCAGGGGCGCCGGGTCGCTGACCAGCCAATTAGGCGGTTCGCCCTTTTGCATGCATTTTTATTACGGGAAGCCGAAGTTCAACCTAAACAACTCGGGTGTCAAAAGAAAATAGAATGGATAATCTAAAACTTCAGAATGATTCATAAATATACAGCCAGTAGTTTTCATTTCATCGCGTCGTAAAAATTGCCTTGTTTTCAGAAGCAAATATTTCCAGTTCTATTGAATCCATTTTCACGTGAAGACCGGCATTTTGAAGAGCTTTCTTTTCCGTTTAAAAAGAAGTATCGAATGTGGTTGTGCGATTCACAAAACGAAACAAAACTGTGAGTAGTTTAGACCCACCATAACGCGAGGCTTCACGGCCGGTCACAAAAACTATGGGGCATATGGCGGCCGAATCGCCCTGCCACGAGCGCGTTCACTAAACTGCCTATTATTAACAGCTGATATGCTGCCCAACCCTGGACAATCTATCAATCTATGGACACAACTTGCCATCAACATCCTACATCACAGGAAAGACTGTGCCCATAGGCAGATCAACCACAGAAGAATGGTAAATGTTATGTCATTGCTATGAATCGCAAGGCATTAGCTCAGACTATTGCCGAATCTGGAAAGAAAAGAAAGTAACCAGAATACTTACGTCCCATCTAGTTCTTTTACAGCATCTTCTGCATCTCTGTAATCTTCAAACTCCACAAATGCAAATCCAGGTGGATTCCTTGCCACCCAGACATTTCTCAGACGACCGTAGTAGCTGAAAGCTCGTTCTAACTCTTTCTCCGAGGCATCTTTCGGCAAGTCCCCAATATATATTTTGCTATCATTTGGGGTACCACGGAATCGTGACATTCTGTGAGATCTGAGAACAAAACAAAATCATATTTTAAAGGAGGTACAAAAAAAGACAACAAAAGGTTTGCTTTTTAAACAGAGCATCCAAACATAGAAATGAATGGTGAACTATGATCTGGCACTTTATGATCATGATTAACCCCATGCCTTAAGCACACACACACCCCCCCCCTCCCACTAAGCAGTTCCCGATCTCAAGACAGCCTGAAGATGATCTCCAGATGGTCCCATGATTTGATCCGTGAGCGATCTCATTTGTGCCCACACACTATCAAAATGACTCCCACCCAAAGTGAAGTTGCAGCAGCCTGTATAGTTCTGAGTATTTCTCTAAAGAAAAAAAGGCGAAAAAAAATCACAATGGTGCAAAAAATGGCTTCTTCGGCGGGAGGAATTCACTCACACAAACCTTTTAAAGGAACTGATATTGTACTCTGTGGATTAAAAAAATTATTACGTGTATGGATGAGGGCTCATATCCTGGGTCTTTGAGGAACAAAAGCTCTTCATAATACCATAGTCTTAGTGTGTAAAAATGTTTTTTGAGATCCAGCACCAGAAAATTTTCTGCGTTCAACTTTATTATACTCCTTTCTGAGCGCCCATCAGGAAGCTTAGTGCAGCCAAAGATCATCTTTGCCGGGAAGCGCTTCAACTCCTGGCCGTTGGCTTTTCTGAAGCATCATTTGAGTGGTCGCACAACGGTTGGATGGACTCAGAGCTCTTCCAATCCTGGCTAGAGAATATTATTATTCAGTACCTGAATGAGAAGGAGATCAAAAGGCCTGTCATCCTCTTTGTAGATGGTCACAAGACGCATCTTACTATGGGAGCCTCCAATATCTGCAAAGAAAATGGAGTAATACTCTATTTCCTGTTGGAAAATGCATCGCATTTAATGCAGCCCTGTGACCTGCGTTTGCAATCCAGCGTGAAAACATCATGGAAGCAAGCAGTTCGGCAGTTTCACAGCAGAAACCCTGGCGACGTTGTGATGAAGTACACCTCCGCGCAAGTTTTTCGGCCTGCCTGGACACAATCAGCTAGTCCAGAACTTGCCATCAACCCTTCCAAGGTCGTGGACAGTATCAAGCTGAAGTCGAGCCAGCTTTTCAGGTCACAACAGACCCCACCTTCTCAACCACTTTCCTCATCGTTCTCCTCATCATCAGAAATGTGTCCAGCATTATCATCCACTTCGTCAAGATTAGAACACGTTGTCCATCTTGGTAGCTGCGAACCTTGCAATAGTGGGTCCCACCAGAAAATCGTGTTGTTGTGGTGCTCTCTTTTCGCTCTTATCCTCTGGCCCATCTTAGTCCTCACCAAGCACTACAACCTTGCCACCCCATCACTCAGCCTTGCCACATCTTCCCTCACCAACCACCTCGCCCTGCAGCCTCTTACCTCAGCCGTGCCGCCTCTCACCTCAGCCCTGCCACCTCAGCCCTGCCGCCTCTCACCTCAGCCCTGCCATCTCTCACCTCAGCCCTGCCGCCTCTCACCTCAGCCGTGCCACCTCTTGAATCCTCAGCATCAACCTCAAGCATTGCAAGTTTTAGCAAAATCCCATATGAGCCATTGCCAAAACGTGGGGAAAAACACACACATTTCACATTAGTGTGCATAAAATGTGATGCATTAGTATTTATTCCTCCAAAACTTATACACATGTCAAATATAGGATGTAGAACCTGCATTAGCAGTTTCAGACCCCATGTCAGCTTTACAATCTTGAGTTTGTAAATTTTGTGTCCAAAATGTTCGTTTTTTTGTGATTCTTAGAGTGTCATTTTGAGCACACCAATGCAAACTTCCAAGAATGTCCAAATTTAGTATTTTTGGGTGGGTTTTTTTAACGTGTGCTTTGATCCTATGCTATTTGTCATCGAGAAAGGTTATCTTGCTCAAGAAATCGGTTTATTTGTTTGCAAATAAACTAACAATTCGGATCACTTGTGCGTCAGTCGTGTCGTCACGGACTAGGTGTTTCAGAAAACACAATTATTTTTCAGTAGAATCACTGTAGCTGGTTAAATCTTTTTGCTTTTCGTCATTTATTCAATACTTCAAAAGCCGCGATGCGCAAAAGGAACATCGGGTTTCAAGATCTACGATTTCGGTCGGCTGTTTAACATTAACCTTGATTGTCGTCAACTTGCGACGTGTAGGAAGTCCGAATTTCGCCCACTTTTGTTTTGAACGGGTCATCAAAAGTGCCCGGATATAATTGTTTTCTTGAGTGACATCCTCTTACCCGCTTCCCCAGAACAACGGAAGCAACAGGGGAAACAGAAAAACGAAAGTAGTCATTGCCTTCAGCGTCCGGTGACGCACAAGAATCTTGCGTTGAATGTGACGTACTGGACTGTTTTGCGTGTTTTTAGGCTACTCTGTTGAATATTTTTGTGAAATTGCCGTGTTTACACTGGATTCCTGGAACAAGAGTGTGATGTGTGAACGAACTTCGCGAGATGGATCATTTCTGCTGTTATAGATTTAGCTTTTGTGCTTAGTGATGACGTTTGGGGTGTCGTCATGCAGCCGTACAAGACTGACTGACGTACTAGAAATTATATTGTCCTAAGAGCAAACATTTTTTAAATCATGTGTGCTCTCTTTACTCAAACAAATTTAACAAACATGTCCTTGTTTATCTGTCTAACTCAAAAATACACATTTGTGCTTTGTTGGTATGATATGCCTTTTTCCAATACATTGTGTCATCATTGTTCTGTACAAGTAATATTTGTCATCATTGCTAATATCAGTAAGTTTTCAACATATATTTCATACATGCAAGATTCATTTAGAAGCAAAATACACATTTATTGATCTATGTATCTCTTAGTGCAAATTTGTTCTTTGTAGGCATGATTTTACCTTTTCCCAGTATATTTTGTCATCACTGTTATGTACGAGTACTGTTTGTCATAATTAGCAACATAACTGTGATCGTCCACTGTCTTTGATATGACCTGATATTTGTTTCAAAGCAAAAGAAACCTCTCCTGGCTTTTTTTTTTTATTCTAAAAGTGGGCATTTCTCTCTGGAGGCATGACTTTGTCTTTTCCTGTACATTGTGTCATCATTGTTATGTACAAGTCATGTTTGTCATCACTGTAATGTGTACAAGTCAGCTCCATTGATTTTGTGCTTTTGCCTCATATTAGTTTAAAAATTGTTTTACACATGTGTTTTTCTGGTACTGAGGCTTTGATAACTGTATTTGTACAGCCTTTCACTATTGTGATATGTTGTCAATGATAATGTCCAATGTGTATCCTTTCCTGTACATAACAATGATGACATGTTCTGTGCACTGCGTCATTGTTACAAAGCTTGTCATTCATATTACCATTATAATGAATGGACTTCATAGTGTACAAAGTCTTTGTTTATTAAACAAATGGCATTTAAAGTTTAATTTGCCTGGCTGCTTATCTGTTTTTGTCATCACTGTTACATACAAGAAATACAGTAGTTGCCAAACCAATAGACCCATATCTCCAAAACCCTACATCTCCTTGCTCTGATACTCTAGGAATATGAGCACTAAATGTCAACCTGTGACTGACAGAAAAGACAGTCAAATTGGTAAGAAAAATTTTTTTGCACCACTGAGTCTCAAGAGAGTCTCACGTTTTGGCAATTGCTCATATATCTCCATGCTGCGCCACCCAAAACACAAGGCAAGCAAAAACAATGGAGAAGTTGCCCAAAGCAGAGTGTACAACAAGCCTAGTATCTATCTAGGGCTGGATTGTACTTTACCAGACCACCAATCTCGGCCCGTGATTACTACGCATCCTTAGCGTAACTACACACTCATAGTTCTCTACGTGCGGACAAAAGGTATTTCCGCGGGTGACTTCGCGCACGCACAGCGCAAGCCAGCGGCGACTGGCGAGGCGAGGTGAGCGAGAGGTTTTGGTTGAGGGTGGGCAGGGGATTTAACTTTGGTGGACCACCGTGTTCATACCAACAGTGGGGAGGGGGGTGGGGTTCAGGGGGGCTTCCCCCCCTGGAAATATTAAAGAAAACACACAAATGCCAAACAATAACATGAGCGGACAGTCGTGTTTACATCAGTGTAGCAACAGTGGAAGGGGGGTTCAGGGGGGCTAGCCCCCCTGGCAACAATAATTCAAACACACACACACACACCAACAATCGGAGCGATTATTCTCACCCGGGGTGAGGATAAACTGGATATCATTCTCATCCGAGGTGAGAATAAAATTGATACTATTCTCACCCTGGGTGAGAATAACGACAGCCTACTATTCTCACCCAGTTTTTTCGTTTCGGGCATCATAGGACCCCTGTGACTGAGCGCTCCAGGCGACAAAACTCACCTCCCTCTTTCAATCCGCAGAGCGCGCGAGGCGACAAAAATCGCCAACGGGCGGGCCAGCTCTCGAGCACGGGTGTGATGTCAAACAAGATGGGCGCCGTACCTAAAAATAGTTTGCATCTTTCTATGTTTAATCGCATGTTAGACATAGCTGCGACTCAGGAATTTTAAATAAGGAGGAAATTCACGCGAAGGTGAACGCGTGCTCTCCGAAACCAGTGAGATCCAGAGGCAATATATACTTGAAAATCTAGCCAACGGTTTTGGAAGGGAAAACTGTCATATTGTTGACCATAGGCAACGGAATTAAAATGTATTTGAAAAAAACCCCAACAACAACAACAACAAAAAACCACAAAGGCACTAAGTTGACTAACAAGCATTTCAGTAAGTTTGACACAGTTTGGACTTGGTGACTAAAAATCCAGAGTTTTTTGCCAGCTGGTGTCTCATAAAAAGATTTCTTTCACTTCAAACTTGTACATGATATATGTAGAGCAGTATCGGATCAAGGAGGCAGGCACTCCTGTACAATTGCAGTCCTGTTTGCACTTCGTGCCCCTGTAGTGTGTTTCTTATTTAGAGATCTAAACTGAATTATAATTATAGCCTAGGGGCCTAGGCTATCTAAATCTAGAATCTAGATATATATCTAAGGTGGTGTCAATTGCCACCGAGTGACGCAGTGGCAATTGACAAAAATTGACTTTTTGTCAATTGCCACTGAGTAAATTGGAGCTCTTTTGCGTAGGTGGGTAGATCTAGCTTTTATTGTGCTCGAGTGCTCGATGTTGTGCGTTCGCTTCTCTGTCCCTCTGTGTGTGTGTTTGTGTGCGTGTGTGTGTGTGTGTCTTTTCCTGACCCCCGTCCCCTGATTTATGTTCCCCGAAAAACGTGAATTTCTGCTTGAGAGTTTGTGTGCGTTTGTGACCTTCTACTTCTAGAATTGCCTGTGTTGGTTCTACACCAAAGTGTAGGCTAAGGCTACCCTAGATCTAGGCCTACGTCTCATTGAAAACACGCCAAGTTGGTACCGTTGCTCTAGACTAGATGCTTGTCCTATGAAATTAGTTGAGAACATTAAATTGACCCATTAGACACACAATGTATAAAGCTAAAGATAGTGTTGTTTTCAGACTTGACATCGCTTCACTCGATGGCAATTGACAAAACGAAGTGACTATTCGGACTCGAGTCAGAATATGAAAAAATGTTATTCGGACTCTGATTCTTGTCCAGCATGACATCACTTCCGACTTCCGAATTCCTGAGACTCGTGACTCCGGCTTCCTGTTCTGCCTCACTCGTGACTCGCCTCAGGCTGGGTAGAGACCGGGATCACTTCGGGCAAACAGGCGTTTTGTGCAGGAGCCGAGTTTTTATCTTATGATGAATTTGAGGCCGGCCTGAGAAGATATAGCGTTTCTAATAAATGTTTATTTGTCAAGAGGTCATCAGAAGCAATTAAAGATGGCTCGTTAGCGTGTGTCGGGGTCGGATGGGCGGCCTGCACACGTGTGGCTGTGTGCGTGTCGGGGCACTATCGGTCCGGGCGTTGAACGGTTGAACGTCACATACGCGTCAGTCTTTTTTCCCTCGGCAACTGATCATTATTACAATAATAAGCTAGTCTTTACGTAGATCTACGTAATGAATTGTGCGCTGGTCTATGAAATCAAAAGTTGCCGTAGTGTATGCTCAGCTCTACACAGCAACACAACTTTTTCTCGGTAAACAATCGAGATGACACAAGCTTGTTGTATTTGAACGAATCGGTCTTTTTTTTTTACACAGCTCATAATATGCAGGTGCCAGGAGATCTGCTTATGTTATCTTCAATTTTACCTTTTCTTACAACAAAGAAAGTGGGAAACATGGGGGGGTGGGGGGGTATCAATGAGGCGGCGGGCATCGGATCGGCAGACAAGGAGTAGGGGAAACTAAAAAATGGCGGAAAATTGGAAGCACTGAACTGACTGAACATTAGATCTCTATATAGTATAGAACGAAGACACTTCCTTTTCTCCGGACCCGTGTCCGAATAATGACGGCCTTGACAAAAAGTCAATTTTTGTCAATTGTCACTCGGTGGCAATTGACGCTACCTAGATCTAGATTTATATCTAAATATGTATATCTATTATATATCTAGAGATAGATTATCTAGATCTAGATCTAGATCTAGAATCTAGATCTAGACTCACTTCCACAGCCACAATAGCCATCATGTAAACAAACCGGACCGCATTTGTACAGGAGAGCCGCGGGCCACGATTTCTTTCGCACCAAACGCAAAGTGCAGCAAGCGGCTTGTTCAATTTTCTAATGAACTTTTCAAGTCGAACACCGGCTGCTTCTTTCTCATTCCAGCTCCTTTTAATTTTGCATTCTGCATCAATTTTTCTCGAATTTCCGCCGTTTTCAATGACAACTCGGCGCCAACGTCCCGATGCCCGATCGACACTGCTGCTCCACAACAATAAACAATGTGAAACTAGATTCTAGATTTAGATCTAGCGCTGGGCCTAGAAGAACGGAAGTAGAAAGCTACGGGCAGACATGCGCAGGCCGCGTTTTCGTCTCTCTCCCGGTTCGGTGTTTTCCTCGGGGGGGAAATTTGCGACCAAGAGCAGTCCAACGGAGGAAGGAGGAATAAGCGGGAAAAGCTAGATCTAGATGAAGCGGAGTTTCCGCTATTTAGCGGGAAAGTGGCAGCTATGGTTAGAAAACTGAGACTGAGTAGGGAGAGTGAGTAGAAGCTCGGAAAGGAAGAATAGTGGGCCACTAGGCACCAGGGGCGCCATAGGGAAAGTAGATCTAGTTTCGACCAGTGGTCCGCCGGTAAAGTACAATCTTACCCTATCTAGATTCTAGCAATTAGATCTAGATTCTAGTCTAGATCTAGAATCTACCGTGGAAGACAACAAATTGATATTGAAAACACATAGTGTCAGAGGAGTGCCTCAAACTCAAAGTTATCGATAAAAGGTAGAATCTAATGTCCTTGTCTTCCTGTCACATGTGATAAGTAAAACGGCAATCCATTATTTCGAAGCACCAAAATATGACACTGAAGGTAGTTTGGCAAACTTACATTTATCAATAGAAGCACAAAACAGGCATGCGACTGTGTCTATTTGAAGAATAAACACGGAGCTCAAACAACCAAATATGGCGGCCAAGCAAAAGAGTCAATCAAAAGAGGAAGTTTAGAAAAAGGAATTGCCATCGACCTTATATTAGGTCTATGTGCCTAGATATAAATATAAAGGGAGAAAACTTGCAGCTTTTGTGTGTAAACCGGAAGTAGAGGAAGGTCGATGCAATAGGGTTTCTTCATCTTAGTGCTATCACTTTAATCACACAGAAAAACGAGAAAAATACTGGTTAGGCTATAATACATGTTTGCTCAATGTTTGAGTCTATTGAGTCACAAATATTGTATGGGATCAGGTGAAAGTATGCCTGTAATAATATGTTTTTCGCTTTTTTTTTTTTTGGCTAAGTGTTTTACGGCGCTCGGAACTTCATAAGGCCATGAGCGCGTGGGACACATTGAACATTTTCAGAAGGTAGGAAATTTTTAATTTTGCCCGGTTGGTGGCCGAAGCCTACTCTTATCGATATTAGACCGCCTAGGGGTCTTTAATGTGCGCAACTTGCTTACGAGACCTCCGAGATTATTCCGCCCTTGTCCGAGAAGGCTAGGTGTATATCTTTCCTGCCAGAAGATCAGGGGTGTGGCTGAAAGACAGCAGTAAGAAGGAGCCTAGGAGTAGCAGTAGAAAGGCTGCAGAAAGAGTAAGGAGCCCAGAGGAGGGGGGAGCCCCGTTCTTCGTTTTAAAAGCCAGGTTGTTTTTATTTTGTCCAAATAACCCTTTTTGTTAAGTACAGAGCGTGAAAGCAAATAATTAGAGCTGCCGCGTTGCAAAGAGATAATAGCAGAGTGAGAGAATCGGACGACAGATTGGAACGTGTAAACAGACTACACAGTTCGATAAAATGAGTAGCTCTCACATTCACATACGACGAATCTGAAACAATTAATTTACCGCTGCGTAATAACCGGGCTTTCGACATAATTACATACATAATTAGGCCCGCGGTATTTAAAACGCCGCGTTCTGATTAGCCCTGTGCTATTTGAAACGCCAGTATTAGTAGTAGCCATCGTTTCTAATAACCTACTTTTCATCACTAGATACTCCACTGCCTAAATCGTGGAGGCTTTCTCAGTTTCTGGAATAAACCTTTATATGTGGGATTTGACTCTAGATGTGTACGAAGTCTTATTCCGATCAATATCGGGTAGATCTAGATACAGTTGTTTCCGACAATGTTTGAAAAAAAAAAGCAATCTAGTTCATCTCTCATAATCATCATATTATAATTATTATTACATGCGTCTGAGAAAGTAAGTCCAAAGACGCTTGGGGTGCTCTCGTGACCTAGATCTAGAGGTAAAGGTGTTGGCCTCTCATTCAAATTCAAAGGTCCTGGGTTCGAATTCGGGTAGCGACCGAAAAATGATGTTCTGTAAAATTGTCTCCTTTCACTTTCGTTCATGCTCTCTAGCAATTTTCTGTTGTCTGCTTTCGTCTCCTCGTTCTGCCCCCACCCCTCACCTCCTTTGCCCCCTCCCCTGGGCTCCTGACTCTTTCTGCAGCCTTTTTACTGCTAATCCTAGGCTCCTTCTTACTGCTGTCTTTTTGCCACAGTCCTGATCTTCTGGTAAAAAAGATCTACACCTAGCCTTCTCGGACAGGAGCGAAAAAGCTCGGAGGGCCCATGTGCAAGTTGCAAGATCCCTTGGTGGTTTAAAATCGATAAGAGTAGGCTTCGACCGCCTCTCGGGCAAAAATTTAAAATTTCCTACCAACTGAAAATATTAGGTGTGTCTCGTGCGCTCATGTGACCTTTTGCAGTTGCGAGCGCCGTAAAACATTTACCAAGAAGAAAAAAACGAAGCTTGGATAACAGTAACAAGACTGTGCAACTAGGTAGGCCCTACTTCTTGTCCACAGTGTCGCCATGGCCTACCGAGAAAGGGGGCTGCCCAGTTTGTCACAGGCCCAGTTTGTCAGTTGCGCCCACCGGAACATCGTTCAGTACAGCGTATTAATTCCTTACCTATATACCTATCGACTTTGGAGGACCTACGATCAGTGTGTTACTATAAAATAAATATTGTCCCTAGGTAAAGCACGTTACCCTGTTTACCTCCCTTGAATCAGGTGAGAAATGAGTACATGGCTATAGGCATTGAAAGAAATTGTCAGAATGCTGGTGTTCAGCGTCTAACAGGCAGCGGCATTGTATGCTCTCCAAAGGAGTTGAGAAGTTACGTGTATTTTTGAAGAAGAAGAAGAAGAAGAAGAAGAAGAAGAAGAAGAAGAAGAAGAAGAAGAAGAAGAAGAAGAAGAAGGCGAAGGAGGAGGAGGAGGAGGAGGAGGAGGAGGAGGAGGAGGAGGAGGAGGAGGAGGAGGAGGAGAAGAAGAAGAAGAGGAAGAAGAAGAAGAAGAAGAAGAAGAAGAAGAAGAAGAAGAAGAAGAAGAAGTGATGTTGGTTTGTTTTTATTTGTATGTTTCTGATTTTTTAAAACACGGGGTGCATGGATGCCGTCTTCAAACTGAGGCATGACGAGAAAGCAATAGAATAGGACCAATAAACAAACATCAGTCATATATGGGACCGCACAGTGGCAGAGAAACAGATCAAATCAGCAATGGAGAAATGCTATTAAATTACAGGCGCAGAACATGACCACGTCATATCAAATTCCTTCTTCCAACACGAAAGGAGTCAAGTTAAAACTTGGTACAAATGAAATGACATAAAGACAGCCTCTCAAATTGATTTTATCCTTGCCAAAGATCGAAACTGAGAAACACAAGAGACTCAAGAGAGATACCCAACTACATCATAGACACTGACCACAGACCAGTAATCATGACTATCGACACACCAAACATTAAAAGGCCAGAAGCAAGGAGACGACGAGAAGTCATGAATCTCATAAATATAAATGACGATACCAAAGATAAGATACATGAACGTATGAAAGATGTATTTCACAAATTGCCCAAACAACCGGGACACATTGAAGAGGAATGGGAAAACTTCAAAGCATGTGTGAACAGAGCATTAAAAGAAGAGTGTGGCACCACGAAAACAGAAAAGGAATGACCAAGTAAAGGAAGCCGTCCAACTGAAGAAAAGGGCATTTCAAAAAGTGGCAGAAATCAAAGATAGAGGAAGATTACATCCTATACAGAAAGGAACGCCGCCAAAAAACAAGGGTAGTAAAAGAAGCCAAGAACAGACCCTGGACAGTGGATGGAGAACAGCTGGTTAACAAAATGTAAAGAAGACCCCAGAGAGTTTTACAAGAGCGTTAAAAGCAGGAGAATGAGGGAGGGACCATTCAACTCAACTGAAATAGTCAAGGATGAGCTTGGAAATCCTATTTTCAGATTAAGGAAAGATGGAAACGCTATTTCCAAGAGCTGCTGAATCCTACAAGAGAAACAACGCCAAACAGCTTCTCGCCAAAAGAAACCACTCCGGAACCATCAATACTGCTGAGTGAAATCCAACATGTTATAAAGAAAAACCCTACAAACAAAGCGCCCGGCGTTGATAACATCACTGCAAAAGAGATCAAGCTATGCGGCCGTATCGGTGAACTGTGGCCAAGGAGGCTATTTAACCTGGCCTGGGCAACAAAAAACAATACCCGATGACTGGCAACGAGCTGTCATTGTACCTATTTGGATTTTTTTTAAAGGTAACAAAAGAGACTGTTGAACCTACAGAGGAATATCCCCTCTCAGCCACGTGGGTAAAATGTTTTCCAAGACACTGGAAATGAGAATGAGACCAATTGCAGAGACTCAACTCAGTGAATCCCAGTTTGGCTTCAGAAAAGGTAGGGGTGGGCTTCAGAAAAGGTAGGTACTGACACTATTTTTGCATTAAGACAGTTGTGTTAGACTGCCATTGCATATGACAGAGACTCAATATCGTCTTCATGGATCAGGAAAAGGCGTTCGACCGGGTAAATAGATGTCAACTTTGGGAAGTCTTAGAGGGATATGGTGTAACAGGACAATTGCTGGAGAACATCATATCACTTCATAAAAACAGCTTGTAGATCAGCAGAAGGACTATCGAACTGGTTCCCCTTCAGGTCTGGGGTGAGACAAGGGTGTGTTCCTTCTCCGCTTCTCTTCAACATTTACATGGATAAGATCACAAAGGCAGCAAAAGACAACATCCCTGAACTGAACGAGCTTCTATTTGCTGATGACCAGAGATTATTAAATACAGATGAAGAGGAATAACAAAAACACTAAGTGAGCAATGTAAACACCTGAACATGAAAACCCCCATCTCAAAAACAGAAGTAATGAAGGTCAGCAGAAACCCAGGGAAACTCAACATCCTTATTGACGGAACACAGTCCCAACAAGTAGAAGAATTAAAAGATTTGGGAAGGATCTTCACACCAAGATGGGCATATGAACAAAGAAATAGAAACAAGAACTATGAAGGCAAATGCAGTGACCTACCAGCTAGCACCCCTGCTCAGTCACAAGAACATCCCAACCGAAGTGAAATCCCAGTTCATCAATAGCATCTTCATACCAACATTAACATACCAGTGCCAAACATGGTCTCTAAAAAAGGCACAAGAAAGAAAAATCAATGCATACGAAATGAGCTGTCTCCGCAAAACCATTAACTTCACCAGAAGAGACCGCATATGAAACGAAACCATACGTCTACAAACTGGAATACCACCAGTTTAAAAAATTCATAGAGCATCAAAGAATCAAATAGTTTGGACATCTAATCAGAATGCCCCAGAAACAGCTAGCGGCTAGAGCTTACAACACCCGAAAATCTGGCTTCAAATCAAGAGGAATACCAAAAAAAGACCTGGCTGGGACGGGTTAAAAAGGTCATGGAACAACATAACATATCTATGCTATCACAAACGCTACACACCTAGCACAGGACCGAAACCTTCACCTCCCATCGACATCCTAAGGATACCAGAGGAAGGGGGGGGGGAGTAAGTAGTAAACAAACATCGTTTTCGTGGATCAAGACAGGACATTAGTAAAACATGTCTCAAATACTGAAACAACCCGCTCCGTAAAACTCTCTCTCTCTCTCTCTCTCTCTCTCTCTCTCTCTCTCTCTCTCTCTCTC